TTTTTTTTTCAGTGCTGCATAGGATTTAGAAGAGTATTTAATATTATATTTCCTATGTAGATAAATTAAGTTGGGTTACATAGTGTCAGGTGGATCACAGAAGTTCAGTTGGTTTATTTCATTTGACTCACACAGCTAGCAATTTTGTTCTCCTTGCAGCAAGGGTAACAGTTTTGTGCCACATTCATTTTACATGTACAGTGCTTTTCCACGTTGTGCTCGCACACCTCATAAGCTGCTTAGTTAGCTACGTCAGCTGAGTACAGCACTGCCTTTCTTCAGGAGCATCAGCCTTTTTAACTCCAGACTCCTTTCTGCCGGTGGGTCACCAGTGCTAATTGTGTAGCAATCATCTCCAGGTAGCAGATCTGTATTGCTGTTATTGGTTTTGTGTATGCTTGCAGCTTTACTTTGTACGTGCACTGTATATCCTGAGGCAAAATGAAAGTAAGTTCACTTCTAATAATTCTGGGTAAACTTTAAAAGGTTTGATATGTTTTGCTCCAGCTAAACATATGTATAGCTTCTTCTCTTCCCAGAAGTCAGTATGACCACTGTACAAATAACAACTAGTTCTCTCTATTATCTGTGTTCCCTCTTTTAAATCCACCTGTGGTCTACTAATGGGCTTGCTGAAGGTCAAAGAAATCTTTGCATTGATTTCAGAACAAGTAGAATTATATCCTTAAATATAAAATTCTCTTGTCAGGGTGTGAATCAGCTTGTGTATTTCTGCGAAATGTTGTGTTTCTGTAGAAGTGATAAATCACACAGAATACCTAATCACCGGCTTCTCTAAGTTACCTCCAGTTAGTGTGACTGATTTATTTGTGTGCCATCTTTGCCAGACCAGTGAATTCCCCCCCCACCTCACCCTGTCCCAGTGTGACCCTTGGCACGATTGGTGTTGTCAGCTACCATCATGTTGTCTGTTTCTCTCTGTGGCATTCAGGTGCTTTCCATCCTATGGCAGTATGGCTGGGCATGAAATCATGATGGAACTACAACTAATTCAAAAGGTGTCAGCCTGTCTCCTTAGCAACCTGGGGCACTGTGTGCATGTAACCAGCCCATGCTGAAGTGAAAGACTCGGTGCTTATTTCCGTGTTGTTTACTGACAAATCTAAATATTAACCACATCACCCCCTGAAGCTTTGGCATGAACATAGTGTTTGCAGCAAAGCAAACTACCTCTTCTTTTTTGCTTGTACAAGTGGGGGGATTTTGCTGGATATACAATAGGTACAGATATGATGATGTCTTTGAACAAGGTAGAGAAAGAAAGTAGCATTTTCTTGAGTTTCAGGTCATTTCTTCTGGGCTCTCTGTATTCACGCCCCGCTGGGCAGAGCAGGCATCAGCAGTGATGAGAGGCACCCTTAGCTCCAGAGCTCTGACGAAAAAGAACAGATATTTCCAAAAAATAAGTATAATCTCTGAGCTTCCCGATAGAGTCAGAAACATAATAAAAGATAAGTCAATGTCATTCTTCCTTTTTTATTTGCCCCTTTAGAGATTTTTGCTCTGCAGGGACTTGCAGTAGTTTTTAAGGCAAAACAGGACTGGGGTATTCCCAAGGACTTAGCTTGTAAACTATGACTGAGAGAACTCTTTCTTCTTCAGATTTCAAGGCAGAGTATTGTCTGCTAGCCAACATATAAAGCAAACTGCTGATGTGCACCTTTCATCAATGGAAAAGCTGTAAAATTGCATTGTTGCTTTAAAAATTAAAATTAGTGGCATTTGTGTTTCTCTAAGTGGTGCATAAATTGGTAAGATTCTAGTAATGAATCCCACAGAAGCTGAAAATTTGTTTCAAACCAGATTGATCATTAAATTCCTATAGATGCTGCATACTCAGTATCAGAAGAGCAGTACACTTTGTATGTTTTCTGTGAGGCAGATCTTACTATAGTCAAGCTAACTGTCTAAAACATACAGGGTTGCACGGTCCACTGGCTGAGTTTTTGTAAACAAAGAGAATGCTGATTAAGGGGAATATTTTTCAAAAAGAATCACTGCAGTCTCTGATGTTAGAATGGAAGAGAATCTGGTAGTATTTATTTCCCCTTGGTTAGAGTGCCAGTATTTTGCCATAGTGTCATTTTTCTGCCTTGTACTTTATTGGCTGGAGGTGTTGCTGTTAGCTGTGGAGCAGAAGACATACAAAGATGCATTATACATTCATTTATCTTTGGTAGGTGATACATTGTGAATCTGAGAAAAGCTCAAAGACTTTTTTCTTTTTTAAAACAGCAGTTGTAGTATACTGTCTTCTCCCCATCCGTTATGGTGCAAAACCCTCTGGTGCTCTGACGGGGTACCTTGTTAAACTAAGATACACAGCAAATTTTGCCATTGGCCTGTAGTTAGAAGCAATTGTGACATGCTTATAGAGGAAAAAGTGGTGGTGTCTTTGTATGTGGGAGACCAGCTATGTTGTGGCACGGCTGATGAAGTCCAGTGTGATCTTGAGCAGGTCCTTCTTTTCTTCCCTTGACAATGAAAATAGATTCCTCTGCGTCATAAAGTTTGAGAATAAATAGACAAGTATTTGCAAAGGACTCAGCGAATTGATGAGAACCAGGCAACTTCTGAGGTGGTCACTTCAGGACATGGGCTCTAGCAGCTTTTTAACCAAGCAGATAAATATTTTTCATGTATTAAAAAAGGAAGGAGAACACAAAACATTTAATTAGTCAGATATAGATAAGCTACTTGCAATTTCTGAGTCATGGACTTGGAAGCTGACTTGCATAATTTTTTTAATTTTTTTTTTTTTTTTTTTTTTTAGGAAATGTCCTTGAGTGTACAGATGATTTGGGGAACTGTATAAACAAACAAAAACGATCAGGAAACACAGGCTTCCCTTTCAATCTCTGAGCAAAACTGCAATGAAGGAAATTCCAACCAACACCAAGTCTGGCCTCTTTAGAATATACTATATAAATGTCTCTGACGGATCTCCACACTGACTCTATTACAAGTTTTTACACCAAATTTTATTTCTTTCCTTCTCTCTAAGGTGTGGTAGAAGGAAATAAAATCATCATATAGGCCTCTGAAATAAGGGTGGTGGTTTAAAGCGCTCTGCTTGAGTTGTGTTGAATCTATCTACTGCACAGTAAAACATCTTTTCCAAGAGATAGCGGGATCTCTGGGATGAGATCAAGGCTATAATGAACTCTTTGAAGAGTGCATCGTTTCAGAGCTTTCACTTAAGTAGTTCTGTTGAAGAGAAGGGAGATGGGAAAATGATCCTCCTGTGACAACTTTGAAAAACACCACATTAGGTAACAAAACTCTGCCTCTTCAAGATGAGGAAAAAAAAAAACCCTGAACCCTCTTTTGCAGTGCTTAATTTCATTTTTCCCCCTGCTGTTTACTTGACAGTTGATGTGTAGGGGAGTGTGTATGTATGTTTTTCTCAGATAGTTTGCAGACATTTTGCTGACTACTTTGTCACGTCTTACAGATCACCAGTGTTCCTGAGACAATAGTTGAGAAACACGGGTCCAATACTCTATCAGAAGATTCTTTGACATTACAGCAATAAAGGGGAAATACCACTATCAGTAGGGTATGAAAAGACATTCGTTTGTCATACTAACCTGGAAAAATTTAGGAGGAAGAGAGATCTCAACACTTGTCAAAACATTAGTTTTAGTATTAGTATGTAGCAAAGGAATTAACTAATGTCCAACTTTACTGCCAAAAAAATTGATATGCATTTCAGTATTATTTTAACTAGTATGTTCAACACCCCTGATTTCTGATAAAATAAATTATGAGTGCTGTGTGATGGGGTCATGAGTCCCCGAGTAAGAGGTGGACAGGTCCTATGGGCCTGTTGGATAGAGTCTCTACCAGAGGCAGGAACACCTCTGTTAGGTGCAGTTTATGGAGAAAGTAACTAAGAGATTAAGCTGGAATTAGCAGCTTCTCCAGGAAAGGTTTTCTTACAGCAGATTGTGAGTGGCTCTCTGCCAGCAGCTACCTGGCGTGCTGACTTGCATGTTGGCGTCTCTGCAAAGCAGTGTCCCAAATTGAAGCCCTAACACAGGAATTTTACTGAAGTAAAAAAAAAAACAACCCAAAAAACTCTTCTAGACCATAGATACAGACACCCTAGGACGTGCTGTCAGAAGTTCTGTTTATCTTAAGTACAAACTAGTAAAATACTTAAAACTATGAGAAAAGTAATGGAAACCAGTACCAGCAGTATATGCGGATCTGGGAAATTTTCAAAGCAGTTGGTCTAATTGATGAGGTTTGGGAAGACAAACTTGAGACAGGATTCCAAATCATGATAGAACAAAAGGCGATGAAGCTGAGATTTTTTTCTGATCCTTTTGCAAAGATAAGGGCTAAATTTAAACTTGAGTTGAATCTCACATTTAGATGCAGAGTTGTTTCCAGCTTATATGAATAGTTAGCGTATGATTAGAATGCAAAAAATGGGTTAGCTGGAGTTACGCGTCAAGTTTGTGATGTAAACCAGTTCTTATGTCCATGGTATGTTAATTAATTTTTTTTTTAAATACTCAAATCTAGTAGAGGCAAACTTAAAAATAAAAAAGGAAGGAATGACTGATGGAATATTCTTATCTAAAAGCCAGCTGTGCGAATCAGTCTATCCTCATGAATAGTCATAGAAGTTAATAAGAATAACATCAATAGGGTTCTCTCCTATTGTAATAGCTTTCTGTAAGAAGTATTTTCAAAACCAGAATTTAGTAGAGTCATGTTCTTTGAAGCATTCCGTGAAGCTTAATGCATTTTTTAAAAAGATGGAGGTTGTTTTTAAAGAAAACCTAAGAGTAGTTCTAATTTACAGTAACATTTTTCTGGGGTTTTTCCTAGCTGGGATATACAGGCAGCGATACAGATCTGAAAGCTACACAGGATTTTAGACATGACTCAAACGCTTTCGTGTCACACTAGGTTGGCATGAATTGTACATTAGGTTAAGCATTGTTTTCTCTGCTTTTTCCTGATAGGTCATTGCTTGTGAACAGCAGTATGACTACTCATATGATGCTCGATGTGACGTATGGTCCTTGGGAATAACAGCTATTGAACTGGGGGATGGAGACCCTCCTTTATTTGACATGCATCCAGTGAAAACCCTTTTTAAAATTCCAAGGTATGGCAGTAGATGGCTCTCTTCACTCACGAGTTTGTTCAAAGAAATATTTGGTAAACATTTGTGCTTTGAATACTTTTTTTTTTTATCCTGACGTCTACAATAATTTATATTTAGAATGCCTTTAAATGATAAAGACTTACATATTTATTCTATTCTTATATTAGAATATAAAATCATATAGTATCAAGGTACCTCCCTTCAAAAACACTTTTCTTAGGTACTATTGATGAAGACATTTATTTCAAAACAGGCAGAAGCCAACATTTGTAACTGTTGAATAACATTTTAAAATGTTATTTCTCTGGAGTCTTAGGCTTGTTTTACTGTGGAAGAAAACCACGTAATTTTGACAGTGCTATGAAGCACTCTGGCAGTTTCGGTATGCTGTAGTCATGCTAGGAATGTTAAAATGTGAATATTTGGATTGTCATATATGGATATGAAAAAGGCATAGAAATTCTTTCTATGTATAGTTGTATTATTTCATACTGTCTATTTTTGGTTTAATTTTGTTTTCGTTTTGTTGAGTGTTCCTGAATAAGTTAAGAGGAGATTGACAGTGTAAAATATGAGTTTAACAACAGAAGAGTTGTAATAATAGAAGAAATTTTATATATTTTTTGTCCATCATTGATTAGACTGGCATATACTTGTCTTTTCCACATTTTGCTCTTAAAGAAAAAATTGTCACTAACTGATAAGTTTAAAACCTTCAGCAATACAAGTGTTTGACCTTTTGTTATCTGCACAGTTATCATAGGCTTTTAAAATTTCTTCTGATTGCAATTTGCATTTCTGATTAAGTCTATTTATATGCAGATGCAGTTGCACTGGGTTCTGCGTCATATAGTTATTTCCTTCTACCCAGCTCAGACATGAACTGCCACCGCTCTTTCCAAAATTATTGATACAGAAGCAGTGGTTCACCTTGTTGCCTTTGCACAAGTGTAAAATAGGTCCTGAAAATTAAGGCAGCAAGGAAGGCTTCAGATTACTAAAGCAGTATCTATAGATTTTATCATAATGCAAAACAGTTTAAAAGGACAGAAGTCATACCAAATGTAACGGGAAGCAATAGGAAGATACGTAGAATAGGGCACATAGCGGATTTAATTTCTGTCTATATTTTACCTCTTTCAAATTTCTGCTGCATCTTTGTATGATTTAGCAAAACAAAGGTAAACGAGCCTACAGGTTAGCTATATTTTATTGGAAGACCTCTCTCCTTTTGTGTGCTACTTGCTAGGTTTATTTGGTAACCCTTAGTTGCCTTATGAGAAGAGGAGAGGTACAGTCAATCCCTATTTCCCCTCTCCACGACTTAATTGTAAGATCCAGTTGAAAGAAATGGATCCCTACTGTTCCTTTTCTTTTTTCTTTTCTATTTTTGTTATTGCTTCTCAGTTTCTTGCCCAGGACTTTCTCTGCATCCTTTGTGCATTTGAGCCAAAGTTCTCAGCCCTAGTTTTCGGCTCAGTGAGACTACAGTTAGACTCTGGACTCAACAAGTTTCTGAACTGGGACTAGCCCTTGTCACATCTCCAGAGGCATTTATTCTGTGCACAGGGATCTTCATGTCTTAAAATTGCTCTGCTGATACCTGCAATCAAAAAGCTCAGGTTAGGGTGGAGTGAACTAGAGGCAGTGTATTCATGCAGCTTGAATTCTTGTCTCAGCTGAGGGGTGGTAACTGCTAGAGACTGCTGCCTCCTGCTTTCTGTAGGAGGCTGCCTGCCTGAGCTTTCTCTACAGCGGGCTCTGCTCCACCCATCACTTAAATCAAGACATAATTCTGCACATCTGGTGAGATGGAGGAAGTGCTCACTCGGCTGACTGCCCATGGTTCACGGATAGTGACAGCACTGCTCTCAAGTGAAGTCTGGAGCTTACTGCTCCTGAGGGATGTAGCGAGAAAGATCTTGTTTAGCTAGGCTTTGCTTTCACCTGGAGAATCACCACTAGCAGGAGATTAGCAGTTGTCTAAATTATCTCACGCTGTAATTTGACATTCAAACCACATTAATATTGGAGTACAGTGGAGCTGAATACTAAGGTACACAGCTCTAATTCTGGAGGTAGTTTCCTAGGTCGGGAAGCAATATAACCTTATATAACTCCAGCCTTGTGTATGTACCCAGGCTCTTGAGTTCCTAAGTCAATTTGTTGATAAATACACTAACACCAAATGACACCAAAGCTTATTGCACAGTTATGGTGTGACTGTGTGTAATGGGTTAGTCC